TATTAAAATTACAGACATTCTAAAAAACTTTGAAATTTTACAAAAAAAAATGATTTAGAAAATCGCTTCTGGCACATATTTAGCAACGTCAAAAATATCTGGTAATAAAAAAGGTATGTCAGGTAGACTTATTTAAAAACAAAAATTTAAAAATTACGTGTTTTAAAATGATTTTAATATCCAGGATAAGTACGTCAACAAGGTGGATGCGCAGTAGTGAACGCAACCACTACCGACTGCCAGACTGCCTAGACTCTATTCGAAAGTGCAAGAAGGAAGATTCTTTTTTTATTACGTTGCTACCTCCCGTATTAACAGATGTTAAAGTGGATACAAATAAATTCTAAAGCCTACGTTAATGTTAGTAATATGCAAATAAAATAGTAATAAAAATTTCAATATTCATATAAAAATAATAAAAAAAAACAACCATGATAACTTAATGGTACAATAGGGAGATGATATTTTAATTCTATAAATCACAGCTAAAGAACATTTATATGAAAATCCGGATCAATATAATTATAAGGTTCTTTTCCACTAGCTCGATAAGGACAATGGCCGCGACAATCAAAATTAAACTATAAAATAATAGTACAAATTCCCCCTGTTTAGGAAAGTGACACAGAAGAGAAGACATGACAAAATATAGACCGACAAGGCTATCTGAATCGGTGAGAATGAAACAATTATCTTACTTTTTAATGCCTTTTTTTAAGAATATTTTTGCAGTCGATTAATTTTTTAATTATTTTTTTTAATTCGTTATAGAATATAAGACCCAGTGAAAACGTGTCTTTATAAAGCTAAAGCGGAATTCTTTCTAAAACTTAATTGCTTTAAGGCTAATCTTGATATATTACACTTGTAAATTTATTCCGTTGTAAAATTATTTTTAATATATTTCCACCTCATTTGCGTCATCGAAAACAAGCCTAATCTAATATACGGGTGATTCTTAATTAACGGATTAGCGTGAATTCTTAATGGAAAGGAATGTGAACTCATAAGTTCATTCCCAAAGATTAGTTGTTATTTCATAGTAAAAATTATTACGATTTTAATTTACGTCTTACACAATATTATGTCTACAAATGTAATAATTTTCTACGAACAAGCAAATTTAAAAATATGCGAAAATTAAATTTTTAATGGAGCTCTAAAAAGCAGACGTTTTTTTAAACTCAATTTTCCTCTGCCTCCACAAATCTATTAATTCCAGATCCGCTCATTAAGAATCAGCATGTATATTAAATGATTCGGGTGTTTAATTTTTATTAATTTATAAAATGAGTCATATCAGTTAAGCCAATTTAAAAAAATGGATTATTTATTTTGTAGAAAATTTATTTACGTCACTAAGATGAGACGCAAGAAGTAGGCCCTCTTTTATAAAACTCTCATATTATTCTGTAATTTGGCAGAATTGGAGGATTACCTTTAACCCGAAAAAAAGACAATTGGAAGGATTGGATTGACCCTTGTTCTGCCTCGTAAATTGGCATTTCTTTGTTTTTGTTTATTGCCGAACGTAATAATTATTAAATAAAAGCCTTGAAAGTAAAGGCACCAATTAATAACAATAACAAAATACAGATGTAAATTAACAAACAAGATCGCAATAATAGGAATATTTTATAAATTCTTTTTATCGTATCAATTACATGACATATGCAATCTAAACTGGATAAATGAAAGTCTAAGGTTCAGCGATATTTTTCTCGCTTATAAAGGTTTATCTCTAATCCGTGTTTCTCGCTTATCGAGGTCGAGTCGTAACAAGTCCATTGGTTAATGTAAACAATGTTAAACTCAATATAACCTACCTGTAATATCTTCCATGACGTAAAAACAAACAAACTTTTTTAATACAAAAGCACGGAAGCTAAAATTTTATATTTTTCTCTAGTTCGACGTACTCTCAATAAGGTTCGTAGCAAAATGATCGATAAAATGCCTACTGATTTAATCGTAGATTATAAGTTATTCTTAAAGTTATTATGGTGAAATCTTTATATCTTCTATAAATATTAATATAACCTCCTTCTTTTTGAAGTCGGCTAAAAAGACGAGTGGCTCAATGTAAAATAAAAAAAAAAAGATATTTATTTCGTACACATGACGTATTTGCCTAGCTTAGAACGAAAAATTTTTAAAATTTTTGTCTGTCTGTTTTATTCCGCATGAATTACGCGGTAGAGACATCGTCGTCGAGTGGAGTAAAATATAGGTTAGAAAAAAAATACAAGTATTTAACAAAAAACAATTTATTAAACACATTTTATATAGTAAAATATAACTTGACATATTCCTTGATATCTAATAGACTGTGTTCACCTAAGATTGGTTATGGAAAACAAGGTTTTTAAAGGTTCCGTACCTCGGAAGATAAAAACGGGACCGTTCTGGGATCACTTTGTTGTCCGTCTGTCTGATAAGACTCTTTTTCTCAGGAGCGCGTGAAGGTATCAAACTGGAATTTATTTAAATACAGTTTTTCTTAATCACACAAATAATACGACGTAGTGGAGTAGAAAGGATAAATTAAAGAAAACAAAACATTATTAAGGTAATAACAAATTATAACAAAAAAAAAAGTAAAATAAATAATTTGGAGGTTATAAAAATATTTGGAGGTTAAGTAACTGCACCTATAACTTTATAAATTTCCTCAAACTTTAATTTGTTTTTTTAATATGTTATTGTATATTGTGTTTTTATTCGTTCTATAATATATTTATTTATTTAATTTGAAAATAAGATTATGGATTTAGAAATTACGAACCCTTGGTTTCGGAGACCAAAATCTCTATACAAAATGTATTTAGGATGTATCCTTATCCGTCATTATCTTTGACAAAACACAGAGAAAAATTGCTTTAAACGGAAATTTCGGTCTCACAAACCAAAGATAAATTAACTTTCCTTAAAAAAAACCCAGCTGACTTTTGACACTCTTTGTTCAAAGCTGGAGGTGGATTTTCGAAGTGTCTGTGTTATTTATAGGATTGTCGGTTTGCAAAATGGCGTTTCATTATTTTCTTATTTATGTTAAATAATACACAAAAAAAGACATTTAAATATTTAATAATAGTTTAATTCTTCCAATAACTGTCTTACCGTCATCATAGAGAACATTGTATTTGCTTAACCTAATTTAAAATTAATTATCAATCTATACGATTTTATACATCATCAGCTTACTACAGCTACCGAGGGGCAAGGAGCCAACCCTAAGTTAATGATGATTAGGCCATAGTCAACCACGCTGGCCAAGTGCGGGTTGACTTCAAAATCTTTGAATTTCTTTGCAAATATGTGCAGCATCACGATGATTTCCTTCGCCGTAAGAACATCGGATAAATGTATATATGTTAATGGGAAATCGAAAAACACATTGGTACATGAAGGGATTCGAACCCAGGACCTGCAGATTGCAAGTCAAGTGCTTAACACCTGAGCCACCGACGCTATTTTTTAGTCGTTTAAATTTATTTTGTAAAAAAAATCAGGCACCTTATCTGTTACCATTATTACTAGTGATTTTTATTACCATTGTTAAAAGTTTATTTATTTACTAGCGGACCCGACAGACGTTGTCCTGGCTACACGTCTTTAATTTGAATAAATTAATATGAAGTTAATATTTGATGAAAATTGTGAATCTACACCATTCCCAGATCCCCTTGAACACACACAAAAAATGTCATCAAAATCGGTCCAGTCGTTTGAGAGAAGTTCAGTGACATACACACTCACAGAAGAATTATATATATAAAGATTTATAAAAGTATATACAACAGCTTAAATTATCGTACAATTACAAAGGAAAAAAATAAAAAATATATAATACACATAACTAACAATTTACCAACAGATGCATTACAACAATAGGTAATAATAAAGTTTACGCACTTAGGTTATATAGCGTGAAATAAGATTACACTGTTATACATTTTAATATTATCAACTTCATCATCGTCAGCTCACTATACGTCCCCACCGAGGGGCTCAAAGCCTATGATAAGGGTGATTAGGCCATAGTCACGCTGGCCAAGTGCCGGTTTGACTTCACACATATCTTTGAATTTCTTTTCAATTATCAACTTAGATTAAGTTAATTTAAGTATACAAATAATTTTACTTAAAGTTACTTTTTGATAAGTAAATCACACCGCCACGTGATAGCGGCACCCAGACTCACATCATTCAAAAATAGAATGAAATCAGTTCTTGTTGAGAGGGCTGTGTATACATACGAAGAATTTTTTCAGTGATTTTTTTTGTAAATCGTTCTTTAACGTGTAATTTAAACATTACCAATAAATATTTTACTGTATTGTAAGTGAAAAATATCAAAATGACTAAAGTTGAAGTCAGTACGTCGGACAAGAATCGAATCGAATTCGATTGTTGCCCTATTGTTCTAAAGCAGTGGTTCCCAAACTTATTTTGTCTACTGCCCGCTTTGAGAATAAATATTTTTTTAGCGCCCCCATATTTTCTAATATTTAAAAACCACTGTAACTTCAAATTAAATTAATTATTGTGACCTACATAGGTATAGTAAAGGAGAATTCTAAACCTCCCAGGCCTCTACACAATGTCCCCATTTTCTTTCTGGGTCTCTTGAGACCTGCAGCGCCCACAAGGGGGCGTTATCGCCCACTTTGGGAAAGACTGTTTTAAAGACTATTCACCTTTTATATATTCACTAGCTGTCGCCCTAAAAAAAGTTCCTAAACGGTTTTCCCGGCAATTATTCAATTTTTTCTAACCTCTTAAACCTGTCCTAGACCTCCACGAACATTTCAAAACCAAGATAAGATAAATCCGTTCAGCATCTCGAGTTTTAGCGAAACTAACGAACTGCAATTGATTTTATATATAAAATTCTCGTGTCACAATTTTCGTTCCCATTCTCCGAAACGGCTTGACCGATTCTCATAAAATTTTGTGAGCATATTGAATAGGTCTGAGAATCGGCCAACATTTATTTTTAATCCCGAGCGGACGGAGTCGCGGGCGACAGCTAGTATATATAGATAGATAATTGCATATTTTGTTATTTCATATCATGATGCCATTAACAAGTTTACAACTAGGTTACAAGTTTACCAAAATGCCAGTATCTCTTTATACCAAGGTGTAGGCTGAGGCCTATAATACTCTGAATTAGGCTTAACCGGTGTGTCGTCCAATGGCGATTCTTTAAACATATTAACATAGGAATTCTTAATTCCGTATAAAAAGAATGCAACGTATGGAAAATATTCTGTCAAATTAATAGAAAAAACAAAATAGGCGTTTATTAATATTCTACCGATATTTGTATTGTAAACTGCGATGAATATGGATAAAAGAGCCAGTTTATATTTCGCGGCTAAGGTTAGTTTCTTGTATTCAGGCGCATTGTCCAATGTGTCGTAATCTTTGAGATAGAGTAAACGTGGTGGTCGGTCCGGCAGACCTTCTACTCTTGCTTTTTCTACTAACAATGAAGCATCCACACCTGAAATCACAAATAGTATTTTGAATTTTTTAATCTACTTGTTTACTTAAACAGATTGTGCATAATTGGAATATCAAGTGTTAAGGAAAGTTATACGTAAATTAAGTATTTAAAATGCGTTTTCTACCCTTAAAAACAAGAACAAATAACAAAACAGAACTATTTGAAACTCTATTTACGTGTATTTTTATTTTTTTTTATTTTTATGTATATACATTTGTGTAGTCAACTACACAAATGTATATACATTTGTAAAATATTAAAAAATTGTACACACCTTTTCTTTCAAGTATACGTATTCATCAATAACATAAATTCATGATCAGAAGCATACGGATGGATACGTGCATACATATTTTTGAAACCGGGATTTTATTCAAGTTTTAGACAGATTTTGTACAGTCAGCTTAAATATTGTATACATTTTTGCAGCTGACTGTACATTAACAAGATATACAAACTTATTTACCAATATCTGGATGTTTTCCATTTAATTTTTCTTTAATGCGTCTCTGCAGATCGATTCTCTCAGGTTCAGTCAAGATATACCCGGGCACATTCGCCAGATTTTTCGTCAAGTACATCTGACTTCCTGACTCCATGGTGCCGTTCACCGCCCACATACCGTCCATCATGACACGCGCCATGTGCTCGAAGTACTCCGGCACGTTCTCCAGACACGGTGTGTACACACGCTCCAGTATCAGCTTACACGCCTCACGAGTTTCTTCTATGTTCTTACGACACAAGTTGTACCTGAATAAGAAAAAAGAAACTATAGGTCACAATAAAACAACGAATAGTCTTATTGTAGTAACTATAATACTATTCCTCGATTATCAAATGGTCAGCGTGGGCCAAAGAAATCCACTCCGACTTAATTTGTTTTAAAAAAAGCATCGCTTTATTTATAATTTTAATATTTATTTATGCAATTCTTATTTAGAGTAAGTAAAAGTACAAATTGTTCTTTGCCGTTTATAATAATATGGTACTTTATATTATAAGGTGGCAAGCGGCCGCCTGAATTCACCGAAATGGCGAAGCAACCGCTGCCCATAGCCATTCACAATTATAGATACGTTCCCTACAATCGATGGAGGAGAAAACGAACAGAAAGAGAATCTTTTCCCCCAACTATGCGTCTCCTCCATCATATCCACTTTTCTATCCTCTCCAAATAAAATGGTGGATTTAAATTGGGGCTAACCTGTCTTCTATTCCTAACATGTGGCCGATGACTCTCCACAAATGATTGTAAGCTTCCCAATCGTCTGCCTCCTGCTGGGTGACGCCGATGCGGTCCGGTTTCAATACTGCATAACCTATGAATCCGAATTGTGTCAATGCCAAATCACGCTGGGATACAGTGCCTTTATTCTTCAAGCGAGCCGCTCTCCCATTCCTCAAATGTCGACGTCGAACTGCGTATAGCGATTGCCATGAACTGAAAAAATATAAATTTTACATATATTAACGTGAATAGGAAATTAAAATTATAGCGTATACTAACAGAGAAATATGACAACATTGATCTGTAGCCAATGAGTAACAAAACTCGCTTCAATTTAATGTCTTCTTTTGGCATTTTCCTATCGATAACTCTTCATTTTGCATTCGTTTTTAAATCTCTCCTTGTCACACACTTTCCTACTCATGACATATACTTACTGTGCTGACCTTTTGCCCTATTCTTAAAACTCATCTCACTTAAATTATAAATGCGAAAGTTTGGATGAATGGAAGTATGGATGTTTGTTTGAAGGTATCTACAGAACGACTGGATGGATCTTGCTCAAATTTGACATAGATGTAGAACATAGGCTAGAAGAACACGTAGGCTACTTAGTTAAGTTTTTTTTATTCAGCTCGGACATAGTCGCGGGCGATAACTAGTGTGGTAATAAAATATTGTAAAACTTACATACTGCCAGGCTTCAATTCATATCGCAACCAAGACATAACGTGTAGAAATGTTGATAGATAACGTTTGAATGCTGTGTATTTTGAGGAGGATCGTCGTGAGCCCACTAACACTTCCAGTATCGTTGGCACTGAAAACACGGAGATTAGTCCCGAAGTCATAGATCCGGCGAGACCGAAACTGAACCTCCAGAAGAAACTTCGTCCCCTTTAACAATAAATACTTCATGTATAGAAAATGTATTATAATAAAAAATATATCTGGCTGAATGTACAGACATTTTCATAAAAAAAAAAAAAAAAAAACAAATTATTAACCTCTGTCTTTTATTTTGTGTCTCGGTATTTTTTATCGTGGATTGCTGTTGGCGCATTGTACATACAAAAACTTGTGAATATTCTTTTGGAAAAATATGACATAAAATGTTTGTTCTTTCAAGCGTTTATGAATTTTGTAATGGGTTCAGAAGGTTTTGTGTTTTTTTCGTGTAAAATACAAATCTTTTTGCTTTGTAATATTAGTGTAAATAAGTTATAATTCTAAACAGTTTTAAATTTTTTTTTTTATAATTAGTTAATTTGATTATTTTTTTATATTTTTTTAAACTTCTTACCTATTATATAAATTTTCATCGAACCATTCAGGCAGATTCATCTCCAAATCATCTTCTTTGACAGAATCTGAAGGAGTTTCGTAGGCCTCCTTGCTTAGTAGACCGTCTACATATTGATCGACTAGAACAAAAAAATAAAAAAATTAACGAAAGTATGGACATCACGTACTCTTTCTTTTTATTGTCTAACTCTATGAAAGTAGAAACAATGGCTTAAAACAATTGCGATTAGTTTATAGTTATCGCAAAACTGCAAAACATTTTGCTAAACGAACACGAGCGCAGTATAAGAAAGAAGTTTCATGTACGCGGTTGCAGAATGTTAAAAAAAATTAACATTTTCTTAATTTATTTTTTATTCCAATTGTGTTATTGTGACTGGGTGAGAATTATCATTAATCACAATTAAAAATTAAAAAAAAAACTAGTTTTTTTACACACACTACAATTTTATTAATAATTTTTTGTTTTCAGGTGTCAGAATGGTTGACACCAATCCGCGATCAATAGTAAGTACAACAAAAAATAAGATGAGTAGAAATAATGTTATTTATTTGGTGAATATTACGAGTATCCTTAAAATATTTTAAACAAAATTACACATAAGGGAACATACCCATACTACGTGACCTATTTTTTTTTTAGTTTTTTCGACCCCTCCCTCCCCTCGGTGACCACTCGTATTATATGCCAAGCCCCCTCTTCCCCTTTAGTGTTTACGTCGTATCCATAATTATGATTTTTAATCATTTCGGCGCTCGCTTGGCATATGGGAGTCAGCGCCACCAATTGTAAATTTATAAAGCGCTAAACACTGCACGCTATATTCGAATATAGGTCTTATAGGTCGAATATTTCTCTCCCTAAAATCACCTACGTGACAAAAACCTGCAAACCCCCGCTGTTGTGACTGACCGTAGTATTTTAAAGACTGCGCCCCCCTCCCCTAAACGGGTTACGTAGTATGGGTACGTTCCCTAATCATAACCACCGCTATTTTTTTTTTATATCGTAAGGTGACATTCGAGCGAGCGGCGATTTAAAATTGAAGCGACTGTTGCCCCTAGACATCCGTAATTACTGATGCCTTGGAAAAGATGCACAGAAGGAGAATATTTTCCGGAAAATCCATTTCAACTTCCCATCCTTTATTTAAAAAAAAGGATGAGAAGGGAAAGAGGACTGAAATTAGGCCTTTACTTTTTATGTCAAGATAGACAAAAATAGTAGAGTATTTTGAGAGTTTTTGTTTTGTTTCGTAACGTCCTGTCTATTTTATGTTTAACGTCTTCATTGAGTAATACAGATTGTTTAAACAATGTATTAGTTCATTTTGGATAAACATCAATTATGCAATCTTATCATTATGTTAGTCTTGTTTAACATTGCTTTGTCTTTCCATTGTTTTATTTTACGTTAACATATTACATCAACATCACATTTTAAAAACAAATGTTAAATAGAATTGCAAAATTTTGCAACCAAAAAAACCGGTAAACAAGTTGGTTACTTAAAATATAATCTTATTTATATTATATTTATTAAATATATTTTATTATAAATGCAAATGTTTAGATTGATGGGCGGGTGGATGGTATTTCCAGAACTGCTGCATGGATTTTGCTGAAATTTGGCGTATATGTAGACCATAGTATGGAAAAACACATAGGCTAATTAAGTTTTTTTTTTAATTCCTCGCGGACGGAGTCGCGGGGCACAAGATCGCAAGATTTAACTAGAATATATATATATATATATATATATATATAGTATATATATATATATATACCTCGGAGTCAGCTCCAACGATTTTCATAAAATTTAGTATATAGGAGGTTTCGGGGGCGATAAATCAATCTAGGTAGGAATCATTTTTAGAAAATGTCATTTTATTCGTGTTTTATCGATAATCAACATAAACATAAACCTAACTTTTTCTATCGGTAAGATCGAAAAATATTATTCATATTTCATCATTTTATTAGTAAATCGTACTTAAATATAATTTCCAAAAAACACAATTAGAAAAAAAAAATACCGAGCAAAGCCGGTCATCCGGGTACTATACAACTATCTATTTAAAATGTCCATTAATTTAAAATACTTTTTAATTAACTTTAACAGTAAAGAATCAGGAAGAAGAATGAACAAAATAGACGTTAAAGTATTAGATGGAGATAAACTAAAATTATTCTCGGGAAGTCCGGAAGTTTTGGAAATACCGCGGAATAATCTGCTATTACAAACAACGTCTAATATGACCCCAGTGAATATAATACAAACACGAAACCTCAGGATAACTTTGGAAACGATTTTGGGTAACGCTAAGAAATTAGCTGACAGCTTAAAGGCGCAAATAACAATAGTTCAAGAAAGAGAAGGAAGATTAAAGGACGCCATCGTCAATGGAAGGTAAATAATCTTCTAAGGATACTAATATCTTACTTCTTACTAATATTATAAATGCGAATGTTTAGATGGATCGATGGATATTTGTGTGAAAGTATCTCCGAAACGGCTTAACGGATATGGCTCAAATCTATCAATATGTATAAAAGAAAGTCGTGTTAGTTACACTATTTATAACTCAAGAACGGCTTTACCTATATCGCTGAAAATTGATGAGGAGGTAGCTTAGAGCCAGGAGACGGACATAGAATACTATTTATTCATTTTTTTTTCGAAGTGATGCCTTGAAGAGTTGCGTTTAATGTAACTTACTAATATTATAAATGCGAATGTTTAGATGGATGTTATGTGGATGGATAGATGGGTGGGCTACACTAATTAAGTTTTTTCATATACCCACGCGGACGGAGTCGCGGGCGACAGCTAGTTTAGCATAGATGTAGAATATAGTTTGTAAGAACACATAAGCTACTTATTAATTTTTCTTTTAATTACGCACGGAAGAAGTCGCGGTAGACAGCTACTTTATAAATACAATTGTTTTAGGGTTCCGTACCTCGAAAGGAAAAAAACGGAACCCATATAAGATCACTTTGTTGTCCGTCCGTCTGTCTGTCAAGACCCTTTTATTATACTAGCTCAACTACGCATTTGATGGCAAATAAAAATAACGTCAAACGTTTAAACAAAAAACAATCATGATTTATTTTTAACTTATTAACACACGATAATACCGGTATAAAATATTTTCGACTTATTTTCGTATTTAAAATATACATATAATAAATATTCATTAAAATCGTTCAAGCTTTATAGGAATGCGAACACAAATAATTAGACACGAAAATAGAATAAATAAAAATAATTGTGAATATCTACTTTATAGTATATTAGAAAGAACTAATTTTTTTTCAACAAGTATTTTACATTGAAATTAAAGGTTCATTATTTCACAGGTTTGGAATAACGACCCTCACGGTTTCGACGCTAAGGAAACTACCAAAGAACTACATAATTCGCGATGGGTACTGGACTCTATGCAATGGTATTTTGCAACACCCAACAACGCAAGACGTTACTGCAGCGGCCTTCAGCGAGTTATACGCTGTTCCTAGATGCATAGGACAAGAGGTATGCATTAAACCAGAAATTTATAAAATCTTAACCCATATCAACCTGTTGTTTCGGTGAACCTCTGCTGTTATATTTATTTAATTTCATCATCAAAGCCGGGTCTACTCTAGACTCCAAAAGTTCCAGGACCGCTACGAGAATCACCGCGTTATTCTATACGAAATAGAGTACACGAAAAACGTATTTTTGCATTTTTTTAATTATTATATTCTTTGCAATCACGTGTTTAAACGCTGTAAAGAAACAAATTGGCTAACAAAAAGATCTAGAAATTAAAATTATAAAAGCTATTTAGATGTGCGACAGAATAAGCGCTTATTCGTACGGGCGTTTTTTTTAACGCCGCGTTAATACTCGGACAGTCCTCAAAATGTAACACTGCGCGTTTTAAAAACGCTGCTGTATGAACTGATACATAGAATAACATTTGTTTTATTTGAACGCTTTATTAAACGCGCGGTAAAAAAGCGGCCGTGTGAAGGAAGACTAAAACTTGTGTTGTACTATACAAAAACCGGTTACATACTATTTTAAATACCAAAAGGCGGAATTACGTGATTACATTATAAAAACGTTACATATCAAATTATAACAAAAACTGAGGCGTCGTTAATAAAAACTATTGCAAAAACTTTAAACATTGATAAAATTAGATAATCGTAATTGTAAAATATTATGCCGTGTATAGATAGATTATATATATATATATATATATATATATATATATATATATATATACATATAATAGATTTATTTATATACTAACTGAGCCCGAGATTTTTGTGCTACTGTTAAACGCAAAAACCTTTTATTTAATATGTCATTTCTGTGTTATTCCAACGTAAGACAAGTCTTTTGAAAACCGTGCAAGATAAAAGTTGTTCCAAATATTTCGATTTAACATCGACAGTTTATAAACTGTCGGGAAATGAAACGTAAATTCATAAAGTAAGGAAACTTAAAACAACTTGAAGTAGTTAAAGTCTAGTAAAAGTTACATTATTTCGCTTAGCATTTAACAGTAACAAATATTCTAAACTAGATGTTGCCCGCGACTCCGTCCGCGTGGATATATAGAAAACTTAATTAGTGTAGCCTATGTGTTCTTTCAGACTATGTTCTATACGTATGCCAAATTTAATCGAGATCCGTTCAGCCGTTTTAGAGATATCTTCAAACACCCATCCATCCATCCACATCACATCCATCTAAACATTCGCATTTATAATATTAGTAAGTTAAATAAAAAGTAGCTCTTCAAGGCATAAATTCGAACAAAAAAAATTAATAAATAGTGTCGGTCTCCTGTCTCTAAGCTACCTCCTCATCAATTTTCAGCCATATCGGTAAAGCCGTCCTTGAGTTATAAATAGTGTAACTAACACGATATTCTTTTGTATTGGCCAACCATTGACATTGATTTGACAGACTAAAAAAAATGACGTCTGTATGTTTCTTTTTGAACTTGGCTGAAAAGGCACTGGAAAAAGAAGAAAAATAAAATCGAATTATTTTTCTAGGTAACATCAAAGCCGGATCCTTGCGTATTCAATTCTGTCATCAAATACGATACAATACCAGCTCAAAAGAGACCGGAATATTCTGAAGACGAGTATCTATGCCTTAAACCGACGTTCAATTCAACATTAGAACAATACTTCAGTGTAACAAAACGTGTTGTCAATCAAACATGTAAAAACGGTATGTATATGAACTTGCTATCGACTCGACTCCGTTCGCGGTAAATTAAAATAAATTAAGTCTATGTGTTCTTCCAGTCTGTTATACATCTATGTCAAATTTCAGCGAGATCTAAGCAGACGTTTCGGGGATAATTTCCAACAAACATCCATCCATCCAAACTTTCGCATTTATAATATTAGTAAGATTCCAATACCATCATATTGTGAGTTTCGAATTCAGTGACTTTGTATAGACATACTGTTGTCTCCATTTTTTCAAAGGGAATAAAAGAGATGACAATATGTTTGTGCATTACGTTACGGATTGGAAACTAATAATTTCCTGTGGTGCTCTTTGCGTGCTGGAATAATAACACTAAATTGTTAATCGTACAAAAAGGTCGTTGGAAAACAACTGGGGCCTTGTAAGTTTACTAATATTTTAAATGCGAATGTTTAGATGTATGGATGTTTGTTAGAAAGTATGAAAAAACGGCTGCATGGATATCATTGAAATTTGGCATACATGCACAACCGACAATGTTTCAGACTAGGAACAAGGGCTACTATTTTTTTTTAATTCGGCGCGGACAGAGTCGCGGTAGACAGCTAGTCACTTTACTTAGAATAAATTAACGATATAAACAACAATTTTAATTTAATTATTTGCATTTAAGATTTTTGCAATAAGTTAAGGATTTTTATATATTTTTAATTTTCTGGGAAGTATTTCAGCCAACCCTTGCAAGCAAAGGATCTAAAGATCGCAATAAAGGAACGGTGTCACATATTAATAAAAAAAAACTGTTCTTTAAATTTGAAAATGGAACATAAATTTTTTTATGTTTGTTTTTTATAACTTCGGTCATGAGAAACCGTATTGGACGATTTTTGTTTTTTTTTAAAGCTAGTGTTTGTCTTGTGGTTATGTATTTTTTTGTTTAAGGTATCATAAGGAGTATGGCTGATAATGTACTGGAGTGTGGGATACGAGTGTTATCAGATTACACGTATTATCCGAACAAAGAGGTGACTTCGTATCTACCGTTGGAATACTGCGAAGGAACTCAAAGTTCCTGTAATCTCATCGTCGCCTGGCATCTCTCGAATTCGAGTGTTGAAAATTTCGAATTCATAAAGGACGATTTAAACTTTAAAAATTACTTCATGAAACCAGCTACGTTCCTAAATAATGCGTTATATTAATTATTCATAAGATTTTATTAAAATTTACTTTAAAATAAAACGTGTATTATATTACAAATAACGTAATAACAATTTACAAAAGCACTAACTTATACCACAAAAAAAAAACAAAAAAAAAGTAAAACAAAACAGATATTAGCACTAATGAGAGTCAATTAGGGTTGTCAAAGTTATCTACACCTACAGAACACTATTTAAAGCAAACCTAAACTAAGCAAAGCAAAAATCTAAACCTCTATGTAGTCAACCCTTGTTTCCTTGACGAACGATAAAAAAAGATATACAGTGATTAGTTTTATTTTGAGCGAAAATGCACTTAGAACGTAAGAAATAAGGTTCAAAGCTGAATAGATGACAGCCTAAGGGAAATCGTAATAAAACTAAGGTTATGTTAACTAAGACCCTTCGTACACAAAGCCACGTAAATCTTAAAAAAAATATATTTGCAAGCCGGCTTATGCAATATAATACCATAGAGGTTCGTACACAGCGCGCGTAGGCGTCATTTCTACCAAAAACAGTCGCTCGCAAACAGTGATGTCATGAGAAAAGTCGCAAAAATTTTCAAGATGGCGGAGAAATACAGTTGACATCTAGTCACTATGCCTGTACTGATCGAATCGAGTAGACGAATGGCGTCGTTCAGAGTTATAAACGGAGCGCACTCAACGCGAGTCTCGCGACGCAACCGTACGATATTAGTTTCGACGATTTACGTTGCTTTGTGTACGAAGAGCCTAAACCAATTATGCATTGCCTGATTTCAGTATTATAGCAAAGCAATTTTGCAACATTGTATTAATCTATTGTTACAACATTTAAATTAGAACAGATAATTATGAGAATTCTTTTTTTTATTGGGATTCAATAATTGTTTATTTGTACGACGATAGTTGCTGGTTGCTAGGCTATCCTTTATCTGGTATATTGAATAGTCTTCTTATGATAAAATAGCAAACAATTAACGAGCGTTATTAGAACTATCGTTAAAAAGATACGTTGCTAAGACAAACACATTACATCGTAATTGTCAGTTCAAATTGCACCGAATTGAAGGAAATGAACATTATTGTACTTCACTGGATGTTTATTGCACGATGACTAAGGATTTAAAGTAATTTTATGCTGACGATTCTAGATAATTGGACACAAAACATCATGCTGTTTATTACGTTGAGTATGAATTCTCGTCGAGTTAATTATTTGTATAAATACATGTCATGTTTATTTTTCCATTTATTTAATCTGTTTGCATTTTAACCACAGATATTAAAATATAATACTAGTTATAGATCGGACATTACAGAGTTGTGGCGTATTTTGTTTTGTCCCGTCTATTGATATAAAGTTAAAAATGTCTTTGTCGTCTTTGTTTTTGACCACAAAAAAAATATACGAGTCTTGACACAACGATAGTTTAAATTGTATTTTGCCAAACTTACCTTATCCATTATTCTATGATAATAAATATTATTTTTTTTAAATGACGTCTTTCTTGTCTTGTGTGCAAAACGCGGAAATATTTGACATTTGCCAATGACAAGTAAACAATTTGAATATAACGATGAGACGCGGTAACTATGCAACGAGTATGTGACAAATTTTAATATGTGATTGCCCAGAGAGAAAAGATTTTTTTTTATTATTTTTCTTTTTCGCATTAAAAGTAGCCAATATCCATTATCAGGCTTAATTATCTGTGTATTAAATTTCTTATCAATGAATTCAGTAGTTTTAGCGTGAAAGCGCGGAAAAGAGTTGATATTTCATAATAGTTCGTAATTATAATATCAAAAGTAAGGATTAGCAAGGATTATATATCATCATCAGCTCAGCTTTCAACAGTGGCAGAGCCCGCTTTAACATCTTCGCACGAATCGGCCCGGCTCGCCCGGTGAAATACCACGACCACACAGAAGACAGGTGTCAAGTGGAAGCTATTCCGCGTACAGTCTGATGAGTGTGCGTCCCGGAGGCCAAAATTAGTCCTCTTTCCCTTCCCATCCTATTTCTTATAAGGAAAGGATGGGAAGTGGAAGTGGACTTTCCGGATGAGAGGATGCATGGAAAGGGAAAATATTTTCTTTCTGTGCATCCTCTCCTCCGTCGATTAAAGGTAGGCAACGCATATGCAATTGCGTATGTCTATGGGCAACAGTCACTTCGCTATTTCAGCGATTTCAGGTGGCCGCTCGCTCGTTTGCCACCTTATGATATAAAAAAAAAAAAAAAGCTCACTATACGTCCCCGCCGAGGGGCTCGGAGCCTACTCTAAGTTTAGGGTGATTAGGCCATAGTCAAGCACGCTGGCCAAGTGCGGGTTGGTTGACTTCATATCATATCAAGGATTATATATACTTTGCATGAATCACAGGACAAAAATTATATTATTTAATCATGTATTTTATGTTAGAATGAAATTTCTTTTTTCAGTAATCAACTCGTAGGCCATCGTGGTTACTTATGGCCTGGTCACATCTACCTTGGGTAGGATGCGAGCCACTCGGTGGGAGAGCTGGATAGTTTGATTTTTTTTGCGAGTGTTCACACCCACATAAGTAACTTAACGAGTTTTTGCGATAACAAATTAACTTAAATTAACAAAAACACACGAGGTTTAAATACAAGTTTGTTATAAAATTAGAATTTTTAATTGTCTATTTAAAAGCAATTCGATGGCTATTTATATAATTAAGGAATATTTAATTTATTAATTAATTATTTTTTGCTCACCAGTTAAATCCATGATGAATAACACTTGACACAAAAAATGTAAATATTTTTATTCACGAATTTCTGCGACTGGAGTCAACCTTTCGACAACACCACTCACTATGATCAAGGTCGGCGAATAATTCAGTATATAAAGCTGTTTGATGCAGATAAAAAAACAGCTGTGATGATAAATATCGGTTCAGTGGGCCGGGCCTATCACGAATATTTATGACAAGCGACTTCGCATCGATATTTATCAGTATGAGATTTTTGTTGTAATTAACGCCCGCTAGGGGCGCTGTACTTTTAATACTTTTGTCGACGACGATACAGAGGCATTTGTCGCAAAGTTTCATGCTAGGCCCACAGTTCGTTGACCGGAGACTACGCTAAATATGTCAGATTCTCTTTCAATCATTTAAATTTTCGTATGGGTCGTAGTAAAACGTATAAATTAATTTTTGTCACAAATGCATGTCTTTGGAAATCGTTGAACGTATAAAAGTGCCATCTGTTGGTGTAAAATTGTATATTAGAAATTAAATTATTAAAAAAAAATAGACAATATGGAACATTTTGGCATACCATATGAAACCAGTATCTTTAAAATGTATAAAGGAAATTGACGTGTCTTAGCTGTCAAAAAAAGTAATTAATTGCGCCAAAATTAGTACAGATGCGTTATTATTTCTGTTATAGGTATTTTATAAGAAAAAAACATATTTTTTTTTCAATATTTCATTTATTACTCAATCAAGTTAAACACAAGTTTAAGCAAAAATAACACTTAAATTATATCTTAACTTCAAGTGTATACGAGTATTAAGCAAAAAATACAAAGTATTTTGAGGTAGTATTCCGCATTAACTTTAGGCGAACTATCCTCTATTGGGCTATCATTAAAAATATTCACATAGGAATTCTTAATTCCGTAAAGAAAGAATGCAACGTACGGGAAATATTCTGACATGTAGAGAGCTGTTATATAATACCAGTTTAAGAGGACTCTGCCGACGTAAGTTTTATAGAAAGCCGTCATGATAAATGATAGTGTTAACTTATATTTGGAAGCGTAAGAAAGCTTCTTGTATTCAGGTACGGTGTCCAATGTGTCGTAGTTCCTAAGGTAGAGTAGACGAGATTCATATTTTGTTTCTTGTAGACTTGATTTTTCAATTAACGTCGACGCATCCACTCCTATAAACAATATGATTTGTTCATAAATTAAAAAAAAAAAAACTATTCACATGATTCTGTACAACAGACTGTAAATTTAAATTATTATAATAACTTAGCTAATAGACAGAATAAGTCATATATTATCTTACGCTATTCAGTTTTTTTTATAAAATTTGACACTGTAGTTTAAGTAGAAAAGACAAGGAAAAGAAAGTACAATTTTAGCATATGATCATAGTATGTAAATAATAGCGGTACATTGGCCGGAGTCGTGATGAAAGCAATGATCCTTTCCGTTGTTGACTTTAAGATGCCACATGAGCATTGCGGCTGCGGCACGGAACCGTTTTACAATACTTTTTTATTACGTGGCAAACGAGCAAGCGGCCATAAATGGGACAGATGCAGTGCCTGTCTTAAAACCTAATACAAACTAGAAAGAATGCCACACGGTATTTTGAATCCATGGACTTTACGTTAGTTGTCATTTGAAGTTTACGCTAAAATGCGTTGCGTCACCACTTTTTAAGTAACGTTTGTAAAAAAACCAACGCAGCAGTGCCGTCGATCGCCCGTATGGCATATATCTTATAAAAAAGAGAGCGCATGCGAATAAACTTGTTATTGGTATCAATTGGTTGGGTAGACGGTGAGAGCAAATTATGAAATTGCTTGTTGCACAGTGTGATTTTTTCTATATATCATATCCATTCAGTTGACATGTCTATTCGTTGACATTGGGTGTGCCTCTAAGCCAAGAGACGATTCGCGTCGGCTATTCAACGTTGTGTGTACTGTGCGCGCGCAACGCGACTCTTTCGACGCCACCATGCAACATTAATTTCGAGGATTTACGTTGCCTTGTGTACGGACGGTCTAATTTCTTTTATTTTCTTCTTCTTGTATATTTATTTACGAACTTTCGGTGATGCTCATTTGTCGATAGACAATAGATAAACGAAAGTTAAACAATTACCAATATCCTCATGTTTCCCAGCAAGTTTCTCTTTCAGCTTTGTCTGCAGCACGATCCTTTCAGCCTCGGTAAGGACGTACCCGGGCACATCAGCCAGGTTCTTGGTAATGTACATGAGACTGCCAGCCTCCGTAGCGCCATTCACCGCCCACATCCCGTCCATCATGACACGCGCCATGTGCTCGAAGTACTCCGGCACGTTCTCCAGACACGGCGTGTACACACGCTCCAGTATCAGCTTACACACCTCACGAGTTTCTTCTATGTTCTTACGACACATGTTATATCTGTAATACATATAAAAAAAAGAAGACCATAAAGACGAACTCATAATCTCAATGACATATTTGTAAATATTTCGATGGGCGTTTTACGTTTATCGACATAACATTCTTCCGACTTTCGCCTGGAGAAATGCTGAACCATCCCTCCTTCTTACTTTCCGATGCAAATTAGAGCATGAAATGTTCTGTTTTGACCTTGGATAATGTCCGTTAATATCAACTGAGCTGTTAGATTTTTTGCTGTCTTTTATCATAAAAATTATATTAAAGTATCAGATCCAACAACAAAGAGACGCGAACAAAGTAGTTAAAAGTTCATACTGACCTATCTTCCATGCCTAACATGTAACCAATAACTTTCCAAAAGTGATTAAATGCCTCCCAATCTTCGGCTTCCTCTTGTCTGATGCCGAAGCGATCTGGCTTAAGAACCCCAAGACCGATGGTCCCGAACATAGTGAGAGCTAAATCACGTTGAGAAACCGTGCCTTGGTTCTTCAATCGTGCTGCGCGGCCATTTTTTATATGCCGTGATCGAACAGCATATAATGATCGGCATGATCTGTGGAATTTATGACAAACCGTATTCAAGTTAGAGGCGAAACAAAAGAGATCTCATTCATTCGAAAGTTGTGTCAGAACCACTGATCATGGAAAAATAATTGTCTTATACCTTCGCAGTATTCAATACTTACAAGCTACCAGGCTTCAGATCGTAACTCAACCAAGCTTTGACGTGCAAGAAGGTAGCAATATAGCGCTTGAACGCAGTGTACTTGGAAGACGATCTTCTGGAGCAGACGAGCACCTGCAGGATGGTGGGCACTGCGAATATCGCTACCAGACCAGGCATCATAACTGACCCGAAACCAAAACAAAACCGCCAAAAGAAACGTCGGCCTCTAAAAAAATAAAAAATAACCATTGTAGATGTTAATTAAATCTAAAGGTTAATAAAAGTTCACATAACCTGAATCCTATTTTTTTTTAGAATTCTCGTTATTGCAGTCTTTACTGTTAATTATAATTCTAACATGTTTTAAATTTCTTACGTATTAGTAAAGGTATTTTTAATTTAAAGCGTCAATAGCCTAATGGTTGAGGGTATGGATTTCCGATCACAAGGTCGGTTGTTCGAATCCCATCATTCGACTATTGTCGTAAACCATATCCTAGCACAAGCCTAGAGCTTAGTTGGAATGGTAAAATAAATATTAGTAAATTTACAAAAAAAATCTGCTAATATTTTCTATTAAAATAAACAAAAAAAATTATTATAGATCATTTAATTTTCATGTTATTCAAAAAGTCCAATCGTAGTAATAGTAAGAATACCGTTGTATCTTTCGAACTTAAAAAGATTCCTTTATTTCCCTTACTTGTTATAAAGAGTTTCATCAAACCACGACGGCAGCTTCATCTCTAGTTCCTCAAGATTGACGGAGTCAGATGGAGTCTCGTACGCTTCATCACTCATAAGACCCTCGAAATATTGCTCAGCTGAAAAATTAGAAAGGAAATTACAATGTTTAAATATTTACTGGATAAAATTAGTTGAAGGATTTGACGAGTAGAGTACGGTACACTTTGAGAAATCCAATATGCCCGCCATCACATGACGGTTGACAAAATTTTGTACAACCACTCCTACATGGGTATCAATGGCTTACAAGTCGTCCTGCATTTATAATAATAATAATTTAATTTATCTCAGATAACATGGATCCATATTCTTATTCTAGGGTTAGTAATAGCTTAAGAACTAATGTTAGTATAAACAATTTATATTAAAAAGAAATGTGGTTCCTCAGCGATGCCAAAATGCGCTAGTCTACATGTAAATGTATCCAATCCTATCCGTCAGGAGGCATTCATTGTTCAGTGTTCGTGTATCACTATAAATTCAAAATGGCCGACACTACAAAATGGCCAATTACAAATTTTTAAAATGTCAAATAAAAAGATTTGACTATTCTATTAATTCGAAACAATATTGCTGGAAATAGTAATTAACTTAAAAATATTTTTTAAAATAACTTATTCACTTAAAGATGTATAAATATTATTTTAATGAAAACGATGTATTGAGTTTTTGCCGCTGTCGTTTATCAATTCAAACAACACTTGAATATCAACTTAATTTTTTTCTTAATAATTTGTAATTGACATTGATTGTCAGTTTGTTTGACCTCTATTCATTACCGAAAGATGCAAATAAATGAAACATGTTGAGATCACAACCATGTTTTTTTGCTCAACTGCTACTAATTAGATAATATAAAGAGCAAACAGCGCTTTAAGAGGGCTCGCAAAATTCGCTAGATGTCGTTGTCGATTGTCTATTAATTTTTTTTTCTTAATTTCTCTTTTAATTGTTTACTAGGAATGTTCATTAAATAAAATAAAATAACATTTAATCCTTTCAATATCACAACACAATAAGCAAAAACAACACAAAAATAATTATAAAGTAATAACACATAGAACATAACATTAGTAAGAAACAGGGAATATATACAAAGAGTGTTGCAATGCTGACCGGATAAGGTTTCACTCAGCTTTGTATTTTTTTTTATTTTTTTTTATAAGAGAAGGGGACAAACGAGCGGCGGGAACACCAAGGTGATCATCGACACCCATGGACATCTGCAACACCAGAGGAACTGTAGATGCGTTGCCGACCTTTAAGGAAATGATATGCTCGCTTCTTGAAGGTCCCTAAGTCGTATTGGTTTGGAAATACCGCCGAGGACAGACCGTTCCACAACGCGTTCAGATCAGCGCTGAGTGTTCCTCTCTGGACCACTCAGCGGTGATCTTCCGAGAAACCCCATAGTGTTATCCGCACGCCAGTTACAGCAGTGGAAAGGAAAACATAAACGTAAATCTTAAAACTAAAATTATGTGTGCGTTCGTGTAATTGTTGTGACAACTGACCGGACCGGACCAGGGTCGGCGGTGCCATGTACCAATATATTTTGCGTATTATGTACATAAATGCTTACATTTACCTGTTGCATATTTTGCATAAGTTAAACAAAAAACTAATAGGATTATAAAAAAATCTGGCCTTTTTTATCCATCCCACCGAGTCGTAAATAAATTGATTAAGAATTTTTTACTGTTGTCCGCGATTTCGTCCGCATGGAATAGAGTATATTTAGTCGCTTAGAGTTATGAAAAAAAAATACGGCAATTGCATATTTTCCGAGATTAAATGTATTCTATGCATTCTTCCAGCTTACGTTATAATTCTTTACCAAATTTCATCCAAATGCATTCACCCGTTCCGGCGTTCCGCAGTAACATATATCCATCCATACTTTATAATTTAAAACTAGTAAAATTCCTACCTGTCAAATCCATGATTAGAAAATTACGCTGTTAATAAAATCACTCTTAAAATATTTCTTAATAAAACTGATTTTGTCAAATCTTTCGCGAAAACAACATAACGCATAGACGTCTAAAAGTGCACTGGTCGTATCGTCCTTTATCTAGAATATTTATAAAGCTATTTCAGACAGGTAAACGTATAATACTGTCTTTATTACCTGTTTGTATTTTTTTACATAAAATTTGGACTTACAAATGAAATACAAAAAGTACGCTCTCGAAATTCTCAATTTCAAGCGATACTTAATTAATAAATATTTTTTTTAATCGCCATGTTGTAGAAAACCTACTAAACGAATTTTTTGTTGAGCAGTTTCATTATAAATAATAGATTCGATATCACGAAATTAATTTATTGATTGCATCGAAATGTCAAAGTATTTAATTACTAGTTGTCGCCCTGGATTCCGTCCACGCGGAAATAATAAACACTCAATTGGCCTACATGTTCTGCCAAGCTATGTTCTACATCTATGCCAAATTTCAGGGAGATATATGGAGCCGTTCTTGAGTTATCTTCAAACAAACATTCACCTATCCATCCATTTATAATATTAGAAAGATAATCGCATGTAAATTTCTAGCCACGGCACAGACTTGTTAATAAATAGACTCAAGGTCACAGCATTGGTGTTTCCAGCATAAATAAGCTCATCTTCATTTAGACATGGTAACATTAAGTGCTTTAGATTATGCAAGATACTATCCGGATGTTATTATTTTTTTTTTTTTATATCAAAAGGTGGCAAACGAGCGAGCAGCCACCTGAAATCGCTGAAATAGCGAAGTGACTGCTGCCCATAGACATACGCAATTGCATATGCGCTGCCTACCTTTAATCGACGGAGGAGAGGATGCACAGAAAGAAAATATCTTCCCTTTCCATGCATCCTCTTATCCGTAAAGTCCACTTCCACTTCCCATCCTTTCCTTATAAAGAAAAGGATGGGAAGGGAAAGAGGACTAAATTAGGCCTCCGGGACGCACACTCATCAGACGAAACGCGGAATTGCTTCCACTTCACGCCTGTCTTCTATGTGGTCGTGGTATTTCACCAGGCGAGCCGGGCCAATTCGTGCGAAGATGTTAAAGCGGGCTCTACCACTGTTGAATTAGTATTTTTATTGTAATTAGTAATCATCTGTATGTACAAACTCAAAGTAATGGAATAAACGAGATAATTTTGCAAAATAGTAGACAGTGACCTTGCTATTAGCTCTAATATAACATAACATTTTATATTTTTAATTTGGCCAAAAAAATATAGCCCTGCACTGCAAGGACAAGTGCAGGTATGACGAACCTTTTCCGTTTTTCTGTGTCTGTGTACATTTACCTCTATGTAACTAAACTCAAACAACTTTATAAAATCTTATATCTGAGTTTTTTCCAGGACAATAAAAACTAATGGTAAATAAAAATACAAAATTTGCTGCAAATTATTCTATTCATATTTATATTGAAGTATTTAATAAAATCATTTTACCAAAAAGACACTAGAACTTTGTACCAGGGTTCTGGAGGTTGAGGCTTGTAATATTCCGAGTTAGGTATATTCTTAGTATCATCATATTCTGGATCTTTGAATATATCTACATAAGATTTCTTGATGCCATACAAAAAGAAGGCAACGTATGGAAAATATTCCGCCAAAAACATTATCATTTTATAATACAGATTAAGCACAAAACGACCGAAGGAGGTCGAATAGAAAGCTATGAATAAAGATAAAATAGCTAATTTATATTTAGACCCGTAAGATAACTTCTGGTATTCAGGAATAGTGTTCCAACTGTCGTAGTCTTTGAGGTAGAGGCGTCGCGGCGGCAAGTCAGGGAGACCGTCTACACTGCATTTCTGTACCAATGTTGATACATCCACACCTGTATTGAGATACCTTTTGTAATTACCTCGGCAATAAAGTGCTACAAATAATTTGGGATTTTTTTTTATAACAGAAGGGGGCAAACGAGCAGCGGGAACACCGAGGTGTTCAACGACGCCCATGGAGGTACAGTGGTACAGTGAATTACAGTGGTAGAGCCCGCTTTAACATCTTCGCACGAATTGTCCCGGCTCGCCCGGTGAAATACCACGACCACACAGAAGACAGGCGTCAAGTGGAAGCAATTCCGCGTTTCGTCTGATGAGTGTACGTCCCGGAGGCCTAACTTAGTCCTCTTTCCCTTCCCACCCTTTTTCTTATAAGTAAAGGATGGGAAGTGGTAGTAGACTTTCTGGACGAGAGGATGCATGGAAAGGGAAATATTTTCTTTCTTTGCATCCTCTCCTCCGTCTATGGGCAACGGTCACTTCGCTATTTCAGCGATTTCAGGTGGCCGCTCGCTCGTTTGCCACCTTATAATATAAAAAAATCTTCGCTTCTTATAGGCACAGAAAAAAATTGGTTTAACTTATTATATCTAAGTATTTTTCGAGTCTGCTAGATTCTAATCACTGTACTTACCAGAATCCTTATTTTTTCCAGCCAGCTTCTCTTTCAGCTTTGCCTGCAGCGCGATCCTCTCGGCCTCGGTGAGAATGTACCCGGGCACTTCGGCCAGGTTCTTGGTGACGTACATGAGGCTGCCGGCCTCCGCTGCGCCATTCACCGCCCACATCCCGTCCATCATGACACGCGCCATGTGCTCGAAGTACTCCGGCACGTTCTCCAGACACGGTGTGTACACACGCTCCAGTATTAGCTTACACACCTCACGGGTTTCATCCATTGTTCTTCGACACATATTGTACCTGTGTAATGATTAAAACTCTTGTGTAAAGTCTTTTTTCCGATCATCTTAATCCTAAAATCTTAGTTTATATACTAGATGTTCCGAAAACAGAAAAAAGCATATTCTGCTAAAAACAATAGTATTCTACTAAATCGTAGAGAAACAAATTACACTTACTTATCTTCCAAACCCAGCATATAGCCGAGAACTCCCCAAAGATGGTTGTAGCCTTCCCAATCCTCCGGGTCCTCCTGCCGCAAGCCGAAACGGTCTGGCTTCAGGATGCCGAGACCGATGACGCCAAACTGAGTGAGAGCCAAGTCGCGCTGAGAGATTGTTCCATTCTTCTTCAAGCGAGCTGCGCGACCGTTTCTTAAATGTTGAGATCGAACAGCGTAAAGGGATCTCCATGATCTGAAGATTACGTAAACCTTGTTATAGTTTGGTTTTGCTTATTTACATTTTACCGGAACATTTATGATTCTAACTAGCCGTAGCCCGCAACTCTGTCGCAATTAAAAAAAAACTTAAGTGAGTAGCCTATGTGTTCTTCCAGACTGTGTTTTATATATGTGCCAAATTTCATCAAGATCCGTTAAGCCGTTCCGGATATACCTTCAAACAAACATCCGTCCATCCAAACATTCGCATTCATAATATTAAGTACGAAGTAAGATTATTATTTACTAAAATACGTTACGAAAATAATAAAAACAATAAAGAATCTTACTCTTGCAATTTCTGAAGTTTGTTTGATGTTTTTTTTTCTCAATATGTTTATAAACCAGTACTTACACACTACCCGGCTTCAGATCATGAGTCAACCATGACTGGAAGTGCAGGAACGTTGCGACGTATCGCTTAAAAGCGGTGTACTTTGACGATGACTTTCCTGAACTGGCCAACACCTCCAATATGGTGGGCACCGAGAACACAGCCACCAGTCCCGGCATCATCACGAAAGATAGGCCGAAGCAATGTTTCCAGAAGAATCGTTGGCCCCTTAAACAAATTAACAGATTAATCCTCATACATAATTCATATATTACGTCGTATTCTTAAGAGTACTATTTAATAGTGTTTAGAATATATTAAAATGATAGAAAAAAATGTATGAATCGTTTATTGTTTTAGTTCAAACACGTGGTTGGAAACAAATCCGTTATTGTACACGTGATGCTTAACAAGATTTTTTTTAATCACTACGATTACACGACATTATAACGTAGCGTAGGACATCCTCAGACTCGGTGGAGCGATGATCTTCGCAGGGCAGCTGGCAAGAGCTGGATGAGAGTGGTCGAGGATCGTGCTCAGTGGCGTGCCATGGGAGAGGCCTATGTCCAGCAGTGGACTAGTACTGGCTGATGATGATGATGATACTGCCGTTGAAAGCATTGGGCGCTACGTTAATAGATTTGGATTGATACATTTAAAAAAATCAACGAGATTGTGTTATGTAGGATTTAAAATACATTTTAATTAAGACTATACAGTTTCCATAAGGATACGCCATATCGGGAATTTAAAGCTCTCAAATCGAAAAATATAATAGATTAATAATAACAGACATTACTAAAATAATATTTATTTTTTATTCTTGCTTCAAAAAAACAATGTTTACACAAATAATGAAAATCTATGCTTTATTAGCGATTTTATTTTAACCATGCCCTCGCTTTGATTTGGTAGCTACCAGGATTACTTGACACTGTGTTATTCGAAAACTTGTGACGCCCTTTTCTGTCTAACGCCCTGGGCGGTCGCTCAACCGCGCCCTATTCTAACGCCGGCCCTGTTCAATTCTTAAAATACAGTCGTTCAAATCTATATTTTTATTTAAAACGTAATTACTATTATTTAAATTATAACTTACTTTTTAAATAGTTTTTCATCGTACCAATCGGGCAGTGTTAATTCCAACTTTTCCGGAGCCACCGAATCAGAGGGATGGTCGTAGGCCTCTTTACTTAAGAGACCTTCCATATATTGTTCGACTGAAAAACAGACAAAATAAAATTCAACAAAAGAGACTAAAAAAAAATCAAAATCGTTCACCCAAAAACTGGGGTGTTTAATTTTTTTTTTTTTTTCTTGGTATACTACATTGCTTTTTGTATGTGAACATGCGGCTGCAAATATTTTTTTAAGAGAAAGACCTAAGTCCCTTTCCCTTCCCAATTATTAAAATAAAAGGAGGGAAGAGAAATTTGATTTCACGGAGGAGCGAACGCATTAGAAAAGGAAATTTTCGAGCGTCCCTTTCTCCGTCGATCGATGATGAGCAACGCATTAGCAATTGCTGATATCTGTGGTCAGCAGCTGCTTCGCTTTAACAGTGAATTCAGGTAGCTTTCTCATTTGCCACCTTATGAGAAAAAAAAATAAGTATGTTAATATATTTTTGTACAGATGCTTTTGTTGTGAAAACTAGCGTTGTACAATATATTGATAATGTACACAGTCTATATCAAGAAATATTTTAATCTACGCTGCTGTAGATTGCTTTATCAATATTTTTTTTATTGACGATGACTAATTTTATGCATGTGCAAGATGCAAATATTCAACTGAATATTTATCATTATTAAAAAAAATACTATTATTGTTAAATATGTTTAAACTGGCTTTATTCAACTCAAACTAGAAGACATTTTTAGAATTAACAATATTTATAAAAATTCCGATTACGTAGTACATAAAAAGAATATTAATTTGGTTACAAAATTAGCACAATTATAATTCAGCGCATGTTTTGGAGCCTACCTAACTAGCTAATATTAGCCCGTTTATTTAGTCCCTAGTTTACGGGGGCTCTTAACACAGATCGATTTCTTGATTTCAATCGTCATGTCCACAGTAACACTATCCGTCTCTTTCTAGACCTACGTATATTTATGTGAGTGTTATTGTAATCAACAAAATAACCGTAACGGTTTGAGCTCTACTAGCGCCCTGGGCGAGATTTCTGAAACGCCATTATATTACCATGCTTTTGAAGACTTAACATAGTCTTTTATGTGGCATTGGTGAAGAGGGCTATGCGAAACTGTGGCGCTTTATTCTCTCGATCGCCCTGGGTGGTCGCCCAACCGCGTCCTATTCTAACACCGTCACTGAATAACTCAGTTGCCAACGTAGTCTTTTCAAATATTTTAGCGGCCCAAGGTCATCGACACGCAGCCCAGTAAATTATTCTGGAATTATTTCGTTGTAAATTGGAATTGTTTTTAGTATGGAATTGTAATGGCGAATCTTATTATTGCCATCATGCACTTAAAAAAACGAGACAAAAATCAAATTAACAATTGTCAATCAAGCATACATTATTTAAATTCATGGTTAACAAGCTTTTCAATTGATCGAACATCACGATGACAGGCACAACATAACATATTGACGTCCCTCTCATATTGTTCGAAAAGATCAGAGACAGCTATATATTTTTCTTGTACAGTTTTTTTGACAAAGGAATATCACGACTAGAAATATTTGTTAAATAAATTAACACTGACGAATGGATATTTATGTCTTTGTACATATTGTATATTTGTTTTTAATTTGCATTTAAGCAAGTAGCTAGTTTTGTTACATGTTCGCACTGTCGAAATATTGATATTCAGGAAAAATACCGCTTCATCACTTTTTTTTTGTTAACGCGGGGAATGCGTTTATGCACTTCGCCGTCCGTGCTGCGGGGGCAGCAGGGACGGTTTCGTGTGGGACTCCCGGCCTGGGAACAAAACCGGACTACCCACTAAACCCCGCGGTGTTCTCCTACGCCCAACCGGACCGTGGAATCTACGTTAGTTTATCCACGGCCACCGCTTCATCACTTTAAAAAAAATTGAGATCCTAAAATGTTTTGTCTCGGTATACATCATACATACAACTTTTTTGTATACGGACACACAGAATTTTCCGATTGTCTCCATATGACCTAACTCACTTATCTCGCTACTCGTCTTTTTAGGATACCCTTATTCCAATCGATATATTTGTCTCTGGTACATCTACTACCCAGTTTTGTTTTGTAAATCTGAACAAAATCATATAATCAATCAATTGGAACTACGGAAGTGGATACTTAACCTAACTTTCTTTGTGTATCCAAATAAGCTTTCCAATAAGCGCTTTCACTGCCGAAACAGCAGAACAAAAAATGTTATCCTCATTATTTCATGAAAAACAAATATGACAATAAGATTTTGTGTGGCAGATATATTCAATGCAACATCATAAAATATTTAAAAAAAAAATATTTTATTCCCACCTGTCAAATCCATGATTATTAATTACGTAAATTAAAAAAAAAATCGCGTATTATTGTAACACGGTAATCTTGAAAGCTTCTTCGTTAGCGGTCATTTCACGTTATACTGGTCTTAGTCGCCGAATTCATAAGATCTTATATAAACTGCTAACAGATAAAAAAATATGATAATCAAACACATGTTGAGGTATTGAAAGGCTGAGTTATATTTTAGTAGCTGTCGCCCGCTACTCCGTCCGTGCGGAATTTAAAAAAAAACATAATAAGTAGCCTATGTGTTCTTTCATACTATGTTCTACATCTGTGCTAAATTTTAGTGAGATCCATGCAGCCATTCTGAAGATACCTCGTAAAAAACATCCATCCATCAAAACATTCGCATTTATAATTTTAGTAAGATTTAAACCTTTGAGCAGATGTTTGCATAATAACACATAATCATATTTCGTTTAATAAACAACTGATTAGTGACAATTGATAAGATTACGAAAAGATTAAATTACATTTTTAAACTGTGACTAAAATGATGACGTCTTAAATTCCCACGATCTCTACAAACACAAACAAATTCAAAGTATGAAGTAAAAATCTGTTTGTTAGTAAATTAAATTAAATTTTGGCGGTTAAATTGTGTAAAGCTCCAACGGGGTGTGTGTACAGGTTTCCAGTGCAAATAACTTTCTTTTCCCCTCCAGTCTCGTCTTGCAATGGAATTTACCTAAATTCAAACCCAAACCTTAAAACAAACTTACGTATGCGCGAAAACCATAACCGTCTTTGTCTGTCTGGTAAAACAGTAACAATTTTGCAGTTTTCGTGTTTATCTGTTGTCTTAACAATTTTAATATTATTCCGTAATTTAATATATTTATGTATATTTTACAAAAATGAAAGCTTACAGAAAATAACAATAATGGAGTAAAATATATCAAAATACTCCACCACATTTAAGTAACAGTGTCAGGGCTGCAGAGAAAGGAACCTCCTCACAATACGCGCGGTTTCTAAAATAACTACCTTTCGAATCCAACTGTTTAGCGAGAGCTTCTTAAGGCAATGGTCGAGACTCATCGCTATTAATCCATTTACGGATACGATTATCGCAATAATGGTAGTCGATTTCAAATGTAACTTAGGTAACCTTGTTAGCTAAGACTTAGTATATAACAACAATTATTCGGATTCAGCTTTCACGAGATTCTTATATATATAAATAAAGATCTTAATCCACAATAATGCAAAATAAAACATGCTATGTGATTAATAAAAGGCGCTGTATTGTTGCACTGTAAACATATTCAACTTAATTAAAAAACTTTAATAATTTTGGTTTCTGTGCAGACAATAAAGCAGCGCCAGACTGACGGTCTAACGGCAATGACAAAAAAAATGTTTTGTTGTTTAAAGCAGCTTAAAGATACATTGGCACTCATTTCATCTGATCCTCATATAAAATCCTCAATCTCAAATTTTGGCAGAATGGTTATGATTATTGTTGGCATTTGGTAAAAAATAATCAGTACGTCATAAGTCACTGTTATCTGTCACCCAAAAGATCTGTCAATGTCATTAAGCTGTTCGTCGGATACGTGATTTTATTCAAATTTTTAATTTCGGTTGTTATGTTTAATTAAGTATTAATAGTATTACTAAAATATATACAAGTTTTATTTTGAGAGAAATGAAATGTTATGTGCCAGGTCCCAACGTGAAAGGTTACTGACATTCTATTATTTGAATTAATTTCTTTGGTATAAAATTTTTCACACTTTGTTTTTAGTTTTAGGAAGAACTATACATGCATTAGCAAGATTCGGAGATGAACTATATTTGGAATCCTTAGTAGATTGTGTTCGATTAAGAACACTAAATACTGCAGAGTCAGCTTATGCAATGGTTAAATTTAATAAAAACTTCTTTTCATATTTTAACTACAATTATAACTCAAATAATGATAATGATGGCCCTAAGTGTAAAATATCGATGAAGTCTGCTCTAAATACTTTTAAGTCACCAGCTCATATGGATAAACAAGTAGAGAATTTAGAAATTAAACTAGAACTAGACCAGTGTAAGTTAATTTTCCAGTTTAAATGTAAACATGGGATAATTAAAACTCATTATGTGTCAATTTTAGACAGTAAAGTAACACAAGCAGTTTACACCAAGGATTTAGTGCCAAATCGGTATGTAATCAAAGATAAATCAATAAATTTTTATTTATATCAGTTTTATATGAAATAAATTATTATGGTTTTAGAATAACATCCTCACAGAGAATTCTTTCCGAAGCAATTAGCAACTTCCAAAGTTCCGATGACCAAGTCACATTAGAAGCATTGTCACATTCAATACTGTTAAGAAATTACATCGATGATAATATTGATTTATCAAAAATTATACGAACACAAATCAATATTAAATCGGAGGAATTTGACAGTTATACCGTAGATGAAGAGACAGCAGTGACATTCACTATGAAAGAATTCAAAGCATTATTAACATTTGCGGAAGCACTTGGCTTACCTATTCAAATACAATTTGAAACAACTGGTAAACCTATAGTCTTTATTATCCACAATGGTACAACGTTAGAAGCACATTTTGTGCTAGCAACCACCAAGCCAGATGTGACCACACAAGCATCCACAACGCAAAAAAGTTCAAGGGTTGAAAGAAATAAAAGAAAAGACTCAAGTAATTTAACAGAATCAGCAAGTAAAAAACCACACTTAGAAGAGGATATATCAAAATGTCTAGATGAAGATTCACATCTTTTTAACTTTGTAGATATTCCTAATGAAGAAATTCCTACGAATAACTGTGATAATAGTGTTAATGTAGAAAATAACAATTTAGTTGATATAAAAGATTGTGATAATATACCAGCATCACCTACGTCAAAGACAATGATAAAATCATTGTTCAAAAAATGTTTTGAAAGTACATTTGATCCGAGAAGCACACAAGATGTAGTGCTAGCAGGGAACTCTGATAGTGAATAAAGTTTTCATTTCTTTTGTTCATTTTTCTTTATGCACATTGAAGAATTTCTTAACTTATAATGATAAAGTCCCAGAATAATTATTGGTTTCGATGAGAAGTTTACGAATATGCATAACCTTAATTTACCAAGTTCTTGGCTAAAATTATACTGTAATTAACAAGTATGTTTTAGGCATTACTAAATAGGTTCATGCACTACTACTCAGATAAAATCAGCAATCTGTCAATGAAAATTTACATATTGCAGTTTAGACTTTCAAATTTTCGTTTCTTTTCACCCCTTGAATTCTAAAACGTTACTGTATATCTGGTCATAGAAGATACAAGTCAAATCCTATGTAATATTGTGTAATCACACCCTAACCAGCGAAGTAGAGGTTATAGATTTTTTTATAGAGATGGCAAATCTCTCATTTCAACATCCACTTTTACAAAATTTAAAAAAGTAATAGGCATGTATTCTTCCAGATTATGTTTTACATCTATGCCAAATTTCATCGTGATTTTGAAGTAGGAAAAAAAGGGTCTTGACAGACAGACGGATGGACAACAAAGTGATCCTATAAAGGTTCCGTTATTTTCCTTTCGAGGTAGGGAACCCTAAAAAACAACCAACCATCTAAACTTTCGCATTGATATTAGTAAGATTAATGAATTGGGTAAAAATGAAAAAGTATTAGCACTGCATTATGATTTTATAGTAAAAATATACATACACAAAGAAAATTGAACATTCCTCACAAACACTTGAAGGCTTCGATTTTTATAATTAATTTTTAATATGACAAATTATTTAATTTTTTGATCATGCATTAATGTGAAAATTTGCCTTTAGCTAAAAGTAATATTTATAACAGAATTTTGTTCGAAAGCATTTGATACCTTCAAATTAAATAGTTTTTAGATTAGAATAATTTTGTATGTGTATATTGAATAACAGCAACTGTAACATTACATTGTTATGAAAGCTATTCAATAAAATAATTTATATGCTTGTTTTATAAAAAATGTCTCCAAAAGCTATGTATTTTTAAGGTACACTTGTTTAAAGTTTACTTAAAACTATTATCCAATTGATTTTACAATTCAATAGCAATTTATTATATATTTCTATAAAATGAAACACCATTGTTATGTGCAATTTATATAACCATGTGCTGTTGGGCAAGGTGGACCAATATACAAAGATAATTTTACAAAATATGCATTTATTCAGACAAAATTATTATTAAAATTTCACTACTAAAATTAGCACTAGTGACATGCGGTACAGGAGAACATCAAATTATCAATGTATCGCGGTAACTAAACATTTATTCACAGGCACAATATTAGGCATTGCATTTTACCATTTTTATACAATTATTGTGTGCTCATAAGCAATATAATATAAACATTTTCCACGAGTAATAAATACAACTAAATTATTTCTGATTTGGTTTCTATTTTAAAGAGATCAAACATTAATTACATATGTGAGAGAAGTTATAAGAACAAATGCAGATTTGTTTTTCTATAAAAAAAATTATCATACACTTTTATATCATAACAATAGCTAGCTAACATGTCTTAAAAAAGATGAAAAAGACCTTGGATACTACTTTTAATTTATTATTTATAAAATACGGCAGCGATACCATTTCATTACAATAAGTATTTATTTTAAATCAATTTCAATATTGTCTCTAGCCCGGATGGGTGGGCGCTTGCACTGTGTCACGTTGTGGCCAGCCTGCAATGTCTCGATTGCATCACCAAACACTCACTATCCAAATAAATCAATGAAAAAGGGCACTGTTAATTAGGAACAATCCTCTTGACTCTTTCTTACACACTGTGCTACTTTTCTTTTAAACTCCGAATATGATTCTCTCCACTCTTTCTGCAAAAAGAAACGGAATGAGGACTCGGCTACGATTGTCGGACTGTCAACTGCGGGCAGGTATGCCTGCGAATGTTGTGAACCTAATGTGGTGAAACTGTTATCTCTATGTGTTTTGCTGTAATGTATAGCCCTTTTCCAATTGCAAAATTCTGTTATATTTATAATCCCTCCGCTCCTAAAAGCAATCTTCTTGACTTTTCCTAACACATCTGGCAACTTTCTTTTTGAAATCCGAATATCGCTCCCTCCATTCTTTCTGTGAAGACAAACAATTACATGTATGTTATTATGAGTGTTTTGTATGAAATTTCAAGACACATTAAATGTTAATTTGTCTTTTCAGTAAACAAAAATGATACTTGTAATATGATAATGGTACAAAAAATCACACAAACATTTCAAACTCTTTTCATAGTAGCATCAACAAGCTAAAAATCTTCACGAAACATTAGAGACATTTTTAAGTGTATTTCACACCAACACGGTCCAATAATTCTAAAGCTCTGAACAGAATAGAAAAATTACCAAAAAAAGTATATACCAAGCTCCACAAACAGTTAATAATATTAAAAAACTTACTGCAGCATCAACATTAGCAGGACTCTCATCGTTAGGATCAGCCAGCATAGAAATGACACTTATAAGAATTGTCTCTACCGTATGAACGGGTAACCATCTCTCCGATGCCTTCTCATAACCCCATTTGTCATCTCCGGGCTCATGCAATATTGATATACATACATCACCATTCTTTTCAACTGAAAATTTATTATAAACATTATGAAAAAAACTTGTGAGTACCATTCCAAATAGAAATATGTAATCTATGCCTCCATGTTACATGTGTGTGTTTTGTTTTTAATTAATAACTAAAGAATTAAAGAACTTTTAGAAAGTTAGCATAAATAACAGGCTCTGTAATTTCAGTAGTGCTGATTCCATAAGGCAGAAGTGTGTCAATTTTAATACCAGTATGCTTTTCAAGTACTAAAGCAAATTGTGCAGTCTGTGGATCTGAATATTTTAACTTCAGTTCAGTATTAGAGTGGGTTTTCACTGTCCACATGCTTTTATATAGTAGAGACAACAATGTAATAAATCATTAGAATTTCTGGGTCATTTTGCAATAAACTTAATGAAAAATAAACTATTACTATGTCTTATGTATGAAACATTATAATTAATATGTTTTATAAGCATAATTAATTAGTGTTTGAATTAAAATGATTAATTTGGACAACAAATTTCATTTTGTCTTTGTTAAATATGTCAAGTGTATCAGGAATATGTTTGTCATTGTTTAGTATAATGGAAACAATGTAACTTACTATTTGGATGCCAAATTTCAGTGACAAATTTCATCCGTGGTGGCCTCAAAGGATACTCTTTTGGAAAATGTAAGTGTGCTTTGAAGAATCCACCCTCACTGTGAAAAGATCAAGCACTTTTATCATTAAAAAAAGAAGCAATTAAATTAAAAAACTGTTTAGACATATTATATTCTTGACTTTCCAGGTTAAAATAAGACTTAAATTACTTACCTAACATCCATACCCACTAACAGAAACTTAGGTTCAAAAAAATTATATTTAAATATAAATTACATTTATTATGACAAATGTGATATATATTCTACTTACTACAATGTGTCTGGAGGCCCAATAATGAGAACTTCCCATCTGTAAATGTCATTGTCGTCTATTAATCCAGCAGAAAAACCTTCCACTGGATTTTTGTTTAGTTCTGAAAAAGCAGACGTAAATTTTCAGTGACGTCTTCGTATGCGTAAGTTATAAAACTATACCTACTTTTAAATATTTTATTATTATAAATGTAACGTGATTCTTTGCCAAGTTAGCGTAAACATTTCGAAACACCTAGTCACTTCTTTATTTGACTTTGGCAACGAATGTCTGTCATTGCGAATATTGATTTTACTTACGCGATTAGGTATATAATGCGGAGTTTCATAATTTGTCGAGATATACAATTTAAGTGCAAATTTTAAATGATCCTTATTATTAAGCATTATCGTCTCTAAATTTCGGCACAGTAAGGTCAATGATTGCATGGATACATGATCGCTTGACGCTCACACAATGATCAAAAATAATTTATGACTATATACTACATTTACCTGCTAGTTGCTTTTTTAATAAAAGCGAAGACTGTGGCTCTGACATTAATTACAATTATGAAATTTACCCTGACGACACGAAATAAATGATTTTCCCACAAAAGATGGCTGGCTGAGTTTTGTGCAGTTTGTGAAACATATGAGTTGTTGCTTGTTTCCGGCGAAGCAATGTTGCCATTGCCAATATTATAAGAAACTACCATAGAAAACTACTATTTTAGAAAATACAGATAATTTTAGTAAATAGTATTTGTACTGTTCATTTATTTTATGAATACAAACTCTAGTGCTTGAATACATTTGTTTGAAATGGGACTTCCGCTAGGATTATTAGAGTAACCCTTTAGGACAGGATGGTCTTCGTCATGTCAGGACCTTTTCTGTATTTGTTAGATGTTTGGGACCCCGAACCTGGTGTATATTTAGGTTCTGATTGTTTTACATATTATCAGCTATGGCAAAGCCTCGGAAGTAATTATTATGCGGATTAATTATACCTTTTATCGACGAACAGGACTTCATAATTAAAAAACTTATTTAAGGTTGATTTCTAAGACAAAAGTCTTTGAAAAAACAGAGATAACAATGGTTTAAACAAGGATTTCGCTCTTAGAAACACATGGTATGAAAGATTAATAAAAAAATGAAGAGATGAAAAAATCCTTTTATGCGAGATTAAAACAACGAGAATTAAAACAATTTGTTTAAAAAATTAATTATGTTTATTCAAACCATAATCATTATTAAAATTTATTTAACTGTCCCGTTAACATCATTTTTTACTTTTTTCGTTGGAGGTTCAGTAAGTCGGTTTTGTGATTGTTTTCTTTTATTTTTCTTCTTTTTACCAGATTTTTGATTGTTTTGGGGATTTTTGTTTGCTTGATTATTAACATTTTCACATTTTCCTGTCGTCTTAATTTGAGTTACCAAATTTAATAAAGTTTGGAAATTCAAATTAGTTTTAATTTGACTACTTTCGTGGAATCCTTTCATTGTATTAATCAATTTCTTTAATAAAGTTACAAAGTTAGTCTTTACTTTGAACTCTTCAAGTGTAACAATGGTTGAAAGTTGTTTTTCAAATTCACTTTCTATATTATTTAATTTCGTCAAAAGTGTTTCTGTGCATGGCTTATTCCTATTCAGTGCTCTATAAAATCCTGACAAAAGTTCGATACCTTCATTACGTCTAAAATGGCGTACATCTTTATTAAAAATATTCTCTAATATTATAGTCACAAGATCGTATGTATTATCCCATTCTGTTTGGAGAATATTGTGGAAGAAAATTATTGGAAGCAAACAGTTACGATTTCGGAAATAGTTCTGAAGAGCATCTTTAAAAATGTCAAGAAGCATTGTAGGCTTTTTCTTTTTGGGTGTGTTGACAGTAACTTTAAGTGAACAATGTATTATAAATGTTGCAAAGAAAGTGACAACATCACCTAAAGCTTGGAACATGAAATGTGACCTTCCACCTTTGTCAATAATAGATTTCAAACAGTCACTTAATATGTCAACAGTAACATCCTGTGTGGAAGAGAATTTTCTGATTTTACATAGATTTTTTATGGTTTTTCTAACTCTATTTTCCAATTCTATTAATTGATTATCTTGCATACAGAACTCTAAACACCTCGTCAATGGCGCTATCATTGCTAGACAAACATCCATCGCGGGATCCTTTTCCAAATATATGTCAATTAAATCCAATACTCTGACTCTAAAATCTGATAAAGCCTTTTTATCTTTGCGATCTTTTTTTGATTTCTTATTCTTGCCTTGCTGAAATTGTTTAAATGCTTCTGCGAGAGCATCATCAAGTTTCTTTCCTTCTTCTTCGTTGATTGCATCAGCATCTATACTTTCTGTGTCGGTTTCCGGTGCTGCACTACCTAATGCTTTTTGTACTGCCATTCTTAACTGATCAGGTATTTTCATGTCTTCATCGTCATCATTATCATCAACATCACTGTCACTATTATCACTGTCTTCAGATTCACCATTCATTTTTGATGTATTTTCATCATCATTGTCAGAATTATTGTCGTCAGATTCATCTTTGTCGTCATCATCTGACTCACTGTCTACTGTCAGTGGATTTGCTTCACTTTCAGGGTCTATAACGGAAACTATTTGTCCAATAGACGATGGTGTTAAATATTCCCAAAGTAATCTAAAAACACATTGCACTACAGAACGAAGTACACTGGATTCAATTGACAATATGGAAAGTAACACTTCTACCAAAACTTCAATCCATTCAGGCTCATCATTTGATATATCTTGCTTCTTTTGTTTATTTGCTTTTCTATAATGTTCATAGCAACTTTTTAATTCTTTAATAGAACTTCTAGCAACTTTAACATGTGCTGGCTCCGAAAATAAAAACAATCCCAACTGATAAAGCAGTATAAGAAAAACATTGTCTACTTTCGATTTTGAATCTGCGTCTTCTATTTTTTCACATATCGATGTTACCATTTGCCAACATTCCATATTTTCTGATGTAAACTGCTTCTCAATTTTTGCCCTGACTTGTTCCTTTTCTAATATTGTTGATATGAAATTGCATAATGATGATAAAACAGTAACTAAGTTGTCAACATTCGAAAAACGTGATGAGAAACATCTGTAGAAGCAAGATTTGATGGAACCTAGAAAAAAAGAAATTTATTTTAATTAATATCTTTTATGATTAGACATCTTACTATGGACTAGTAACCCTTAACTTAGGTTAGGCTCCGAGCCCGTCTATGGAGACATATAGTGAGCTGATGATGAAAGATGATAGATCTTACTAATGTTATAAATGGGAATGTTTAGATGGATATTTGTTTAAAGGTACATCTGGAATGCTTTTTTTTATATCGTAAGATGGCAAACGAGCGAGCAGCCACCTGAAATCGCTGAAATAGCGAAGTGACGGTTGCCCATATATATAGGCTTAATGGCTTGTTGTATTTTGACATAGATATAGAACATAGTCCGGACGTCGCGGAAGGTGTCGCGGGCGACAGCTAGTTTTCATAATAATTTTACAAATAGAGTATATAATTTTACCTGCTAGCTCACCACTCACAGCAACTGTCTCGTCTCCACCAATTTTAAAGAAACCAAAACACATTAATAACTTCATATTAGTTATTTTAAACTCCGTATCATCTTTGATAGCATCATGACTCACGAGAAATGATAAAAGCTCTGCAGCTTTAACCCTCTCATTATTATACCAATTTCGTTCTACATCTTCTTTGATGGTTTTCTTTGAAGTATTCATTAAAACATTTTTTAATAGTTTAGCTATCTTCTTTACACCATCGCTATCTAAATCAGCAGCTATAGATTTAATTATAGAAGTTCCTGTGACTTCGGAGAAATTAATCTCACCAGGATTGAATAAAAGTTTCTTTAAAGTTTCAACTCTCACTTTACTTGTAACTTTGTCCGATTTTAATGATTTTGCTAATGCATTCAGTAGTTCCTTTTCATTCTTAATCATTATTTTATTATCATCTTCATTATCTCGTTTATTTCTTATCTTACTGGCCGTCTGTAGACCTTTGAACCAATCCATGAATAGTTTGAAAAAGTTTGTACTTAATAGTTCAGGTATCACTTCAACATTGTCATCAAGATTCTGTAGTATTGTTGTGAGCAGAGAAATGCATACAAGTTCTCTGTTTCTATTATGTTTTGTAAGTTGACTGTCAATACCTGTCACCCAAAATTGTACTAAATGTGATGACTTTGCAATTTGTCGTCCAATTTCTTTATAAATAGGGTGATGTATTGAACTGAAGTCTATTCCCGCCTAAAATAAAAAAGATCGATTTTTTTTTATAAGTTAAAGGCGGCAAATGAGCACCATAAAATTTGATGTTATTTTTTTATATATTGTATAAACTAGTGTTCAACCACAAACCCACTTGATATTAAGTGGCACATATTTTAGTTGATATTAATAAATTCTTACCAGTAATTTTTCACATATAATTTGCAAATTATCTTCATGTAATATTTCAGGAACAGATAACAGTTTCTTTACTTTAACCTTCTTGGGAAACTTTGTACTGACTACTAGAAGAAAATAAAGAGAGTCCAAGTTGTACTCCTTCAAGTCTTTTTTAAAATCCTCTTTAATGTTTGACCATACCACTAATGAGAATTGTTCATCATCAAGCTTAAAAAAAAAATATATGCAATTAAAACATTTTGGATGAAATATTTTTTTCTATGGCATTTCTAGCATAGAGTAATGTTAGTCAGACTTTTCCCTTATGGAGGGTTGTCAAAATATGTACTACTTTCCATACTTCATTATAAGCCGTCATATCTGATGCCAGTACCTTCATATGGATTCTTTCACACATTCTTTCTTCAGTCTTTCCCTATCTTTACAACTATAGAAATTCAATCTCATTACTTTCTAACTTATGTGATTACAATCTCTACTATCACCCACTACTTGCAGCATTAAACTCACTAAAAACTTAGTAATCTTTGTGTTCTTCCACACTATGGTTTTCATCTATGACAAATTTTTGCAAGATCTGTGCAGCTGTTCTAAAGATACTTTCTAGCAATCATTCATCCATACATCCAAACATTCACATTTATAATATTAGTAAAATAATTGCAGTAACATTTATCTATTTTAAACTAGAAATTGTAAACTTACACCATTTATAAAATCAATTAACAAGATATATGCTGCTGTGTTTAAATAAGACTTCTTATTACTGGCTTTCATTAATGTTGTCAAAATTTGTTTTTGTTCTTCTTCTGTACATTTCAACATGCGGCCAGATCGGAAAATGGCACTGCATACTAAAATCTGACCGAGTGCGACATCACCAACCTCCTGAAAAACAAAGTTATAATTCAATTTATTAATGAGTAGAAGAATGAAGAACAAAATGTTATCAATGCAAGGGTTGAAGAAGGCATATGCATGTGGCAGAAATGTTACATCAATAAAGTATTTTGGACATATGTTTTAGTGAATTTGATCCTCCTATTGTAGTTTCATTTAACAACTAGTAATGGATAACCATATTACTTGTGTAATATAAATATCATCAGCTCACTTTATGTCCCCACTGAGAGGCTCAGAGCCTACCCTAAGTTACAGGTGACTATGCCATAGTCAACTGTCTGGCCTACT